GAAAGCTGATTCAAACTGATCTCCCCTTTTGCTAAGCCAGTTCTGTCATTTTGGTGCCTGCAATAAACGCTGGCACCAGGCGCGGAGCAGGCCCTGATTAGGGCCCAACGGTGAGATCGGAAACGCCTCTGGGAGTTCCGCCGTGTCGGGGGAACCCTTTTATCAGCCATGACTTGGTCAGGAAATAGAAGTCTCTATATCCCAGGAATAAAAGGTTTTCTACAATAGAGAAATTATAAAATCACTACTTTACAACTTTTTCAAAATTAATTCCAACTGCATTAAATAATTAAATTGTAAAAAGGAAAGTCAGCATATAGGTAAATATTCGTATGATTTGAAGCTGGAGGGAGATTTTCTAGAGATGATACTAGAAGAAACAAAAAACAAGTTCAGTGGGTTAAAAACCAAAATAATGATTTTTATAAGACATACAACACCAAAAAAAATTAAAAAATAAGTAAAAATGAATAGAAAGCCATAGTTAAACCTCACACTGCTGATCAAAAGTTCTTGCCTTTGACCAGGGTTTCTCAGCCTTGCGCTGCTGACTCCAGGACAGGATCGTTCTTGGTCATGGGCCTCTGTCCTGTGCAGTGTGGGGTGGTCAGCAGCAGCTCTGGCCTCTGCCCATGAGACGTTCGGTAGCGCCCTCTCTTCCAGTTGTCGATGACCCCAAATGTCTCCAGACCTTGACGCACGTCCTTGAGGGCAAACTCACCCCTGGCTGAGAACCACGGTTGTGGAGCATCTGTTCTCACACTTGAGTGCCCACCAGAGGCGCCTGGAGCCCTTGTCCATCCCGGATGCCCAAGTCTTCTCCCTGGGGTTCCTAATGTCGTAGGACTGGGGTGGGGATGAGACGTTCAAGTGGGGCTGAAGCTGCGGGTCTGGGGACTGCCCTGCGGGAAACTCAGATACTGCTCTGCTTGCGAATAAATGTATCACCTCCTAAAAAATAAAAATAACAATGATACTGACATTTTAAGAACATGGAAGTGTTGCGACTATAGGCAATCAAGCTGCATCTTGCAGTGGAGTTCAGGAGTTTAGAAACCACGTTATTGCAGAAAATTGGAAGAGAGCTGCAAACTGTGTGGTTCATTAAACAGATAAAGGTTTGGTTTACATTTGCTCCAAACTTAGTGATTTTCCTCAAATAATAGAGATGACCCCCATGAAAAACAGTCTCGAGAGAAATCAGGATGATAGAGTACGACGTGGGGCTCCGCTGCGATGTTAGTCACTCTTATCCCAACGGCTCATTAAAGTTTCTTATGACAAATTCTATGTACTTTCCAAGAACTATGTAAAAAGAGGTACACAACCTTCTTTGCTTAGTGCCACATAATTTTTAGTAACCGAGTAATTTTTGCTGGAACAGCAGGACACCGCTGGAACGGATGCCATCGCTCGCTGCAGGTGGGAAAAAGAATAAGGGAAGAAACCGTCAGGGCCTGCGTTTCAACGGACGGTTCGCACTTGATCTCCTAGGTTCCCCCGACACGGCCGAACTCCCAGAGGCGTTTCCGATCTCACCGTTGGGCCCTAATCAGGGCCTGCTCCGCGCCTGGTGCCAGCGTTTATTGCAGCCACGTGAGTCTGAGAAATAAAATGAGCCATCGACGCACCGGCGAGCCACCAGCAAAATCAATAGTTCTGTGCTGACAGCGTGGCTTTATTGTCATCTCCTGAATCTCCTCGACTCTTTTGCAATTACTTCTATTATTTCTGCTCACTTAATGAGACCCTGGAGTCTGGAGCCAGATGGTGTCGACAGTTAACTCTGGAAGACTTGAATGGAATTGAGTTCAAACCAGGTTAACAGGAATAGAATTACCAATCTTAGTGGTCATTGCCACATAGGGCTCCCCTTGTGCATTTTTATGCAGCAGAAATTACTTCAGGCTTCAAACAGAAAGACTTGGATTAAGGTTCCAAGAGACTAAGTATGCTCACTCATTCACTCACTCATTCACTCACTCACTCATTCATTCACTCATTCACTCACTAACTCAGTCATTCACTCACTCGCTCATTCATTTACTCACTCACTCACTCATTCATTCACTCACTCATTCATTCACTCACTCATTCACTCACTCATTCACTCACTCACTCATTCACTCACTCTTTCACTCATTCATTCACTCACTCACTCATTCATTCACTCACTCACTCATTCATTCACTCACTCATTCATTCACTCACTCACTCAGTCATTCATTCACTCACTCATTCATTTACTCACTCACTCATTCATTCACTCACTCACTCACTCTTTCACTCACTCACTCATTCACTCACTCACTCACTCACTCACTCATTCATTCACTCACTCATTCATTTACTCACTCATTCATTCACTCACTCACTCACTCATTCACTCACTCACTCACTCATTCATTCACTCACTCATTCATTTACTCACTCACTCACTCACTCATTCACTCATTCATTTACTCACTCACTCATTCACTCACTCACTCTTTCACTCATTCATTCACTCACTCATTCATTCGTTCACTTACACACTCAACAAATGTTCAGTCATATTCCCGTCTGGGTGCTGCAGAATTGCACACACAGGCCAGCAGGGTCGCGGCCTCATGGAGCATCTAGTGCACTGGAATAGTGCACCGAACAAAACAGCGAGATCACAGCACACGGCGCGTGTTAGGAAGGAAGATGCGGGAGTTGACGTGCTGGGATGGAGGTGGGGGGTCAGGGAGGCCCTATTTCAGCAGAGGCCCAGAGGCTGGGAAGGAGTGGATGTGGGGAAAGCAAGAAAAAGTCACTGCTGTCTGTTGAGAGGAAGTATATGTACAAAGCTGTGGCATGGAAGTCGTTTGGTGCCCCCAAGAGCTTCAAGGATGCTGGTATGGCTGGCACCTGGTAGGGTGCGGGTGGGGAGGAAGGCCTGGGATGAAGCCAGCAGCTGCTGGACCCAGAGGGCTGCTTGGGTAGATGGCGTTTAGATGCTGAGCCGCACCAGGGATTTTAATATGCACTGGTACCAGCGTGCTGGCGAGTGATGCTTGTAGAAAGATCATGCTTTGAGTCAGGGCAGTAAACATGCATGATCCAGAGCGTATGTGAATCAGAAGCCTGATTTTAAACCTTTGTGCAGAGAGCAGGCAAAACAGGGGCGATATTTTAATTCATAAAGCGGCCTTATATAGTTGCAATAATTTAAAATTTGCATCATGGTGCTTTCTGTGGGGCACATTGTTGAGCTAAATCCACCCAGAATCTCCTCCTCCTCCTCCTCCTTGTTGGTGCCAATGCCTGGCCGGTCCCTGGCCAGCATCGCTGCCCTGCACCACGTCCTTTGGTACATGGCTGCAGGCCCTTCCAGAGTGGTTTCCTTTCTCTTCTTTCTCCCCCGCCTGAGTCTCCACCTCTCCCGTGGGGCGCTTCTGTACCCATCAAGGCCTAGTTCAAGAGACCCATGACCACCTGGGAGCTGAGTTCAGGAGGAGCGAGTGAACTGCCAACGTCCCCCCGCCCCCGCCTCCAAGGTTCTTGTGGCAGTTGATGCTGCCCTGTTGGTACCTACATTTGCCTTGTTCAAGCAGGGCGAGCTAGATGCCGAGCTCATTTAGATATCCTCTGGGCTCATTGCCTCAACCCTAGCAGACATGAAGGCCATTTACTGAATTGAATTCTCACTAGCACGTAGCATTTATTGAGCAATTAATTTGCCAAACATTCTTTCAAGGGTTTGTGATTTAATCTTTCTGTGATGGTTAGTTTTATGTGTTGCCTTGGCCATGGTGCCCAGATACTGGGTCAAACATTATTCTGGATGTTCTTCTGAGGATATTTTCTAGAGGAGATTAACAGTTACATCAATAGACTCTGAGTAAGCAGGTTAATCTCCACAGTGTGGGTGGGCCTCATCCAACCAGTGGAAGGCCTTGAGCAGGGAAGCAGGGAGCCATCTACCACCCGATGGCCTTTGGACTCGAATCGCAGCTCTTCCCTGGCTCTCTAGCCTGCTGGCCCCCCTGCAGATTTTGGACTTGCCGGCCCTTGCCACTGTGTGAGCTAATTCCTTGGAATCTCGTGCGCTCTCTCTCATTCTCTCTCTAGGTATGAGTATATGATCTCAAAACAGATATTTATATATAAACAACTATAATGTGTATCTATAACATCTATAAACATAAATATATGTGTATATATAAACATTCTGTTGGTTTGGTTTCTCTGGAAAACGCTGACTAATAATACACCTCACATGTAACACCTTCTGCCCATTTTACAGATGAGGAAGTTGAGGCTCAGAGGTGCTGAGTGCCACAGCCGAGGGTGCACTCCTGACAAGTGGGGACCCCAGAAAGTCCAGGCCTTTCCGAACCCCAGCACAATCCAGCTTCTCACATGTGAATCCACGAGTGAGCATGTGAATGCTTGCATATCCCACGCACCATATTTACCATGAAATGTCTCTTCTTTTCATTGGTTTGCAAACTACCGTGGGATTTTACAGCGTGTGAGGACCGTCACTGTCTTGGACCTCGCTGTCCAGGAAGAGAGGAAACACGCCCGTTCACAGAGAAGGGCGGGGTCCTTGCTTGGCGGGGTTAAATCCTTTCTGTTAAACGATCTTCTTTGCAGTTTTAATTTCCAGAAAGATCTCGAAATAACCATGCACTTTTCATAAACAGTCAGCTGCAATATCTTCAGGAACATGAGAAGGAACTAAACAGACAAGAATTTAACAAGAAGTTTTGTTGAAAATGAAACGCACCCCACCCCCTCCAAAGACGAAAGGAGAAAAGAAAGAAAGAAGCTGTGCATGTGCATGAAGTTAAAACAGAGAAAAGCAAACAGTGCTTAGGAGTCCCTGAGCCTCTTGGTGTCTTTGCCATGGGCTAAAGTCCCATGTTGAGGTCACAGCTTCAAAAGTGGCCTCCAATTGGCACCTTTCCACAGGAAAAGTTGGCGGTAAATATTCGCCTGGATCAATGGTTTCTGGTTAAGCTACAGACCGCCCAGTCAGAGCGAGCGAGCCGGGCCGCCCCGATCCAGGAGGGGCTGCTCTCAGAAGACGTGTCATCCCCAAACGCAGAGACACAACCTCCCTGGCTCTACAGGACAATTCTTCCCAGAATGGAGAAGATGGTGCTGGAAATATTGGTCATGTTGGTCCTCGGAATGAACAGCCCGCCCTGTGCAGGTGAGGAACTCAGCTCCACGTAATCTGTGGTGTGTCCTGGCCCGCATGCCTGGTCTCACGGTGTCCCGTGTGCTTGTGCGTCCAGGTTTCCCAGTGTATGACTACAACGTGTCCTCCCTGCGGCAAGCCCTGGGCGCCTCCGTGGCGGATGTGAACTCTCGGTCCCTGGGCCCCTACCTGTTCAGGGCGTTCCGGAGCTCCTTAAAAAGAGTGAGTGCACGTGGCCCGTTCTCCACACCTCTCTCTACTGCTTTCTGGCTTCTTTTGTCCCTGTGTTGGGTACACTTTTTAAATTTTGTCCAGTTTAAAATGATAGTAGCTCGTCACCTCTTCCAGCTGTTCGCAGTTCCTGAGGCTTCCAGAACCCTTCAGGGGCCTGCGTCCCCTGCCAGGCACTTCCCTCGGCCCATTTCCCGTTTTCAGATCTTTCCTGCCAAGCAGCCTCCCTCCGCAACCCGTGTCCCCAGGTTCCTCGTGAAGCTCTTTATTAGGAACTGCTCATTTATTAAAAAAGAGCCTCTTTCAAGTTCAGCAGTTCTGCTTCTAATATTTATAGGAAATAAGTTCTGGCTTTTGAGCTAAAGCAATCCCTTTCCTTTGCCAATGGAGTGGTCGTCTGTTTCCTGTTAGCATTGGAAATTAGGAGAGATGAATCTTCTTGGGCTTCCTGTGACTGAGTCTGAGACAGGCAAAGAAAGAGAAGCAAAAATATCCTTCAAAGGAAATGAGAAACTTGGACAGCAAGGCGTCTGCCCCCTCCTGGTCCCCAGGGGATGTCACCGCTTAATTCCTGGGCAGAGATGGAAGAAATGCCCTCAAGCTAGTCTAGGTGAGGCTGGGAGGTGGGACGGGTTCTGTAAATTACAGGCCACACGGGAAGGGGTAGAGATGCTCTGTCTGTGCGCCTGCTCCTGTGTCCCACCCCGGCCACCTTTGCTCACCCTTAGACTGTTCCCTCAGGAGCTGTGAGGACCACATGGCTCGTGGAGACTTAGCCCCAGTCTCCGAAGACAACACATTCACTGTGACCTTTCTTTCTCAGAAAGTGGCTCAGCGTCCCACTTCTAGAGTCACAGGAAGCCAACCGAATTGTCCCAGTCGTCCCTTCTAACTGGGCCATACATAGGTCGTTAAGATGACAGGCCATGCCTTTGTTAGGTGTCCACCCCGGAACCAGGCTGCAGTGGCCAGACTGGGGTCACCTGGCCTGGATGTCATGGTGTGCAGGCAATGCGGGATGTGTGCGGCCAGCTGCCAAGCAGAAGGGTGCTTTGTTCTGGAAGGGCACCAGGCCAGGATAAAGGGCCTTGTTCCCCACCTCCCCCACACCCCAGCTGCACTGGCTTCGTCTTCGGCGTGTCATGAAATCCACTCGCAGGCTGGGGAAATCAATGCCCTCTAGCCAGGCCTGCATGTGGTGCAGCTGCGCTTGTTACAGAAGAAAGTGAATACTTACTTAGATGAGTAAGAACATGAGGCTGAGACTTGAGAGGGCCGATTACTGGCACCACGGAGGTCTGGCCGGGGGAGGGGGGCCGGGGTGGGGTGTGGCCCCCAGTGCACGTTCCGGCACGCGTGCTGTCTTGTCGAGGCCTGAGCCCAGACACACGCGCCGCTGCAAATAAACACACGTCTGTGTGCATGTATGTGTATGATCTTTAACGAGTATGCGACGATGAGATGTCGCATCTCATCGCATCCTGTGTGCGGCAGCTCTACCCGGAAACCTGCCTGCTCTTGCCGCTCCCTCCCTCTCTTTCTGATTATTCAAACTTCTCTGTCAGGCGACACACATAATGCCCCCTCCCTGAAATCTACGCATGCCCACGGACGCCTGTGAGGGGCCCCCGAGCCCTGAAACTTGGAGTTACAAAAACATTTTAGCGAGTTGGCACATCTGCGTGTGGAGCCTGCGAATAGCGAGGAACCATTGTAACCCGGGCTTTAGGTGCCCTGCTGGCCCTGGAGTTAGGACACCAAAGTCCCGGTTCCTGTATCGCCCCAAAGCATTGTATGCCTTTGGCAAAGCACTTTTCCCTCTGGTGTTGGGAACGAGGTGTGGAACCAGGGGACTGCTGAGATGACTGGCAGCTTTTTTTTTTAAGTTGGGGGATGATGCTGTCACGTTTTCTCCTTGGGCAGGGGGAGACGTTCCTAAGCATGTGAATTTCAGAAGCACACCAACGGCAAACTGACGCTTTGTTGTTGTGAAGGTCAACGTGCTGGATGAGAACAGCTTGAGCATGGACATAGAGTTCAGCATCCGTGAGACGACCTGCCGGAGGGGCTCTGGAGAAGACCCCGCTACCTGTGACTTCCAAAGAGGCTACTTCGTGGTAAGTGTGCTGGGAAGGGCCCACCCACTGCCCCAGAAACTAACAGGAGGAAGCGCCACGTCTCCTTCCACGACCTGGAGCCGCTTTGGTGTCCTGCAGAGAGCGGGCCCCTGCCTGTGGTGAGGCCACCCCAGGAGGCACTTGCTATGCGCACGCAGTGTTCCTGGGCGGGGACCGTGCAGCCCAGTGGTTGGGGACATGAGCTCTGGAGCCCATGGTCCTGAAGAACGCTGGCAGGTTATTTAACCCCTGGTGCCTCCGTTTCCCATTCTCTAAAACGGGGACAATGGTGGTTCCAGAAAGGTGAATACAAAGAGGCCAAAATCCCAAAGACATTTCGAATTCTGTTTAAAATAATTGCAAAACCCTGACCGCGGGAGTGGCATTATTTTGCAGTTGACAGTGGGATAGTGTCTCTCTCCCCAGCGAGCTCGGGCTCCGCTGGGAATGAACGTCAGGACGGCGGCTGTTCAGTTCCATATCCGCAGGGACCGCAATCTGGTCCCACACTTTGGTCGCAACCCTGGGCGGCACCATCAACCCAACGTTCCCTTTCCAAGGCGTTGGCGTTGTGATGTATGCGTTCCCGGGGCTTCGTTCTGTTGTCAGTGTACGTCGGGGCTGCTTCACGGCAGTGTAACTTCTGAACAGGGACCCTTTGTCTTATTTGCTTCATGAGACTTTCTTCCATGACTCTGTTTTACGAAGGACCAAAACCCAGTGTCACAAGCATCTGTTCCTAATGAAATCCAAGGCCGGAGCAGAGCCGTTCGGTCTCTCCCATGTCTTGCTGCTCAAGTGGGCGGCAAGGGTTCAGGGGTTCAGGGCGGCCCCTCTGTGCTCATGAGGGGACGTCTGCTTTCCCGGGACTCGCGGTGCATTAACCGCTCAAGAGACGTATAAGTATTTCATTTGTTTCTCCTTAGGCCTTTGAGAAATTTTCATTTTGGAGAAACGACAGGCCTCTGTGAATTTTTCCGTGCCCTCTGTGTCACTGAGCCTAGCCCTGCAGCGTGGTGTGGGTCCCAGCCCTTCTGTGCGCTTCTGCAGACCCAGCTCATTGTCTTGCCTTTTCCAGCCCACAGCCGCCTGCCGGAGCACCGTGCGGATGTCCGACGGGCAGGTGCAGGCCGTGTGGGTGCGCTGCCGCTGGGCCTCCAGCTCCGAGTCGGACAGCAGCGAGGAGGTATGGCCGGGGGTTAGGTGGCCTGCAGGACAGCACGTCTTAGGGTCTCCGTGGGCCTGTGGCAGACTGTGGTCACAACATCCCCCAGGTGTGGGCAAGCGTCGCTCTGCTGCTCAACAGGATTCTCTTTTTTACCTACAATCTCATCTTCAATATCCCTTACTTCCTTCAGCCTTTTTGTCTGCCTGTTTGTATGTGTCTACCCATCTACCTACAATCAGGGGTGTCCAACCTGCGGCCTGCGGGCCGCATGTGACCCAGGATGGCTATAAATGCAGTCCAACATAAAACCGTAAATTTACTTAAAACTTCTTCACTCATCAGTTTTTGGTAGTGTTTGCGTATTTCACGTGTGGCCCAAGACAACTCTTCTTCTCCCAGCGTGGCCCTGAGATGCTAAAATGTTGGGCACCCTTGGTCATTCTCCCTCTATTTCCAACTCTCTCTTTCTGTTTCCCCAAGATTTGGGAAAGAGGGAGCTCAACGTGACCATTAGCAAATCTTCAAGGTTTTAGGTCTAAGCAGGACGCTCACAGGTCCCCTGATTCAGTGAAACGAAGAGGAGCGTCTTTGTTCCACTTGTGTCCAAAACTATTTGCCTGCTCTGCAGTTTAGGTCAGGATACCTAACCTTCCTGAACTGCAACTTCTTCTTCTTAAGCGAAGGAATAGATGCCAGGAATATAAACAGCCCTGTAGGCTGTGGGCCGAACCAAGGGAGGTGGTGGGCACAGAAGACCTGGCCTCGCGTCTGGTACGTAACAGATGCGCGCGTGCGGCAGGACGCACCTTTTCCTTCATTCACATTGACACTGAATTGTAATAATACTGCAAAATTAATAGCGTTTTAATTTTTTATCCTCACCTGAAGACACGTCTTCATTGTTTCTAGAGAGAGGAAGGGAGAGAGAGAAACATCAGTGCGAGAAAGAAGAGTCAGTTGGTTGCCTCCATAGACACCCAGACCAGAGACTGTATGTGCCCAGACTAGGGGTCAAACCTGCAACTTAGGCATGTGCCCTGACCAGGAATCAAACCTACAGCCCTTTGGTTATGGGACGACACTCCCACCGATGGGGCCTCATAGGCCAGGGCTATATAAATTTGACTTGAAATTATATTTCATATTTGTCTGTTCATCCACTGACTGCTTTCTTTACTAGGGTGTCTTTCTCACAAGGTCAGGAATGTTTATTTTTGTCAGTCCAGGACAATGTGTGATTTAGGATAGATACTCAGAAAGTACTCATTGAATGAATTTTAAAAAACTGAGGAAACCGAGGAAGAGCCCCGGCCAGTGTGGCTCGGTTGGCTGGGTGCTGTCCTGCAAAGCGAAATGTATACAGTTCAGGGGTTTTAGCGCGCCTGGAACGCGGCACGGCCATCACTGCTACCTCAATCCAGAACATATGCATCGTCTCAGAGAGAAACCTCTCACCCATCAGCTGCCATTCTCTGGCCCCCGTTCCTCCCCAGGCGATGACCACCAGTCCCTTCCTGCGTCTATGGATTTGCCTGTGTTGGACATTTCCTATGAGGGGAATCACACACTGCGTGCTCCCCTGCGGCTGGCTTCTTTCATGTAGAATCCTGTGTGGGAGCCCCACGCCTGTTGCAGCATGTGTTACTACTTAGTTCCTTAAGATCGTTGAGTGATATTCCATTGTATGGATATATTACAGTGGATCTCTCTATTAGGTGGTCGCCATTTGGGTTCTTTCCGCTTTTGGGATATGATAAATCACGATGCTATGAGCTTTCCTGTGCGGCTTTTCTTGCAGACATTTTTTCTACGTAGACTTTTCAGCAGCTCCATGAAAGCTGCCTATGCACCCTTGACTGAACACTCGTGACAGCTTCATAGGGAGACCTAAACACAGTCTGTCTGCAGGTCCATGTGACAAGCTGCCATTTTCTGGTGCACAACTTTTGGAAGTAACTCTGAGTCTGGCGGAAAGAGTCTTAGTCAATATAAACTTCAAGTAACTTGCATTTCTGTATATACTTTCTTAGACATACATACTTAGTACCATATAAAGTTATTTAACATAACGTATTGTCTTATTTAATTGACCAGAGTCCCCCAGATAAGATTTGCCTTCTTTTATAGGGTCTTTTCTTCTCTCTTTCATGTGCTGCTATGTACTGATGCTTAAATTCATGAAGATGGGTTTTAGGTACATACTGGGATCTCCTCAAGGGAGAAACAGTGATCTATTTGGTAAGTTGAGATCCGTTCTTTTCCATTTTTTTCCCTTGAAACAACCTCTTACTAAAGCTTTCTGTCAGTGAGTCATTTAAAAGTAGACATATCTATACATAACCTTTGAATAAGAAAATAAACACTTTCCTTTTGTCTCTGTCTTCACACTGGGCAATAGGGACGAACTTTTCATTTAGGTGTCCCTTTGTGTTTATACGGAGCTTTTCCATACGTGGCTTCATTTGATGGCCCCGGCATCTCTGTCCAATAGTCTGGGCAGAGGTGGGTTTTCACCTTGAGAGGGTCTGTCTCTGGACTTGAACATGCTTGTTCACCCGTTCCTGAGCTATAGGGCCTGGGAGTGCAATAATAACATGTAGCGGGGGGGGGGGGGGGGGGGTCTCAACTGCGGGAGGGCGGGCTCTCCCCTCCCTCCTTCCTGGGTGGCCTGTCACAGGGCTGGGGGCTTAGGGCTCCGTGGCTCGGGGGCCGTGCCCACGTTCCTGAAGCCTTTGCCCGTCGGTGCTGATGGTGGCTAAGCTCTTTGGCAATCGCCCACTTCCTCCTTGTTTACGAGGCCCATCTGGGGCATCAATAATGAAATCACAGAATATTCTGGAAGCCGTAGGCCTCATGGCTGCTGTTGTGTTGCAGGTCTCGCTCCTGACGGGCGCAGAAGTGAGCAGTTTTATGGACGGTCACTTGGTGAGCGGCCCTACTTTCTCTCCTAGGTCGGTAGACCCTGTTCTCAGCAGGGCGGGCCCTGCTGGGGCCATCGCACGGGGGACAGCCCCTGAGCTCCAAAACAGTGTAAGTGACAATGAAAAGGTAGTAAACTCGCTTGCAGCTCATTGAAAAGGGAAACAGGAGGCACTGAAATCCCCTGAAACATACCAGGGATCAAAACACCGAGCCCCTCTCGGGAAATAAACACTGCCCTTTTGTCCTGCCGACCCTGGGGCGTTTTCTGAATAACCAAAATTTTGGGAATCTTCCCTTTGCCCTCCACTCAACTGCACTTCGTGGCACGCGGGCATCATCACCAGTATTTATTTTCTCCCGTTTACAGACCAGTTTTCTTATTTACTTCTTGGGATAGCTCTGTAAACCAGGTTCTGCCTGCTTATCGAGAAGAAATGAGTAACAACCCACGGCGTTAGCTGCCCACACAAGGCACTCCCTTCGTGCTAATTGCTTGACACAGTTTTCTCCTTCGGCCTTCACAACCGCCCCGTGAGCTGGCGCCCTGTTCCCTCCCGTTTTGTAGATGAGCAAACTGAGGCGTAGTGACTTTCCGCAGCTTGCCCAAGGCCACCCGGTCAAGGCAGGACTCCGATCCAGCTCGTGAGTGGCAGAGACAGGGCTTTGGTACAGACCTGCCAGACTGCAGAGCCTCTGGTGTTTTCCATGCCGCTTTCCAAAGGGATTGGGACATTCACTCTCTGTTCAGATTTCTCCTCCCCAGCGAATGAAACGGGTAAGACTATTTCATTGAGGTCAGCGTCTGACCCTCGTTAGGCACACTCCAACCGATTGGCGGCACTGAGGCTGACAATCTGAAGCTTGATTAAAAATAAATAAATAAATAAAAACCTCGGTTTTAGACCTTCTTCAAATTGTCTTGTTGAAAGACTGCATAGTTACTCCACCAGTGTGACCGCTGTTGAAATGTTTTTGGGACATGTTTTTTGGAACTGCCTGCAGCATCTATGGCCCCTTTTTTTGAATCTCCGTAGCGGTGGGAAACCCTTGCCATTAGGTGTGACTTTAGAAGTAACCAAAAGACATTTGGGAATAGATCTGATGCATCAGGTTAATAACCAATTGCTGTGTGCCAAATGACGCCAAAACTTAGCGCCGAAAGCAACAATGGGTTATGATCACAGTTTTCAAGGGTCAGAAGCCCAGAAGCAGCTTAGCAAGGTGTGCCTCGCCCAAGGTCTCTAATAAGGTCAGACAATTTGGTGAGACAGACAAGGGCTTGAGGGTGGGGGTGGGGTGGGGCTGTGATGTCATCGAAAGGCTTGCTTGCCTGGGGCGGAAGGATTCACTTCCAAGTCGCCTACATGCTGGCTGGCAGGCCTGAGGTCGTCACGGGCTGTAGGATGAGGTTTTCCGTTTCCCACCACGTGGGCCTTTCCACAGGGCTGTCTGAATGCCCCCTAAAAATGACAGCTGCTTCCCCCAAGAAAACGAGAGAGAGAGAAATGAGCAAGCAACAGAGCATTCGAGACAGAGGCACAGCCTTCTATGACCGAATTCTGGAAGAGACACGCCGTCATTTCTGCATATGTGTTAATCACACAGACCGACCCTGGGTCAGTGTGGGAGAGAAATGCCCAAGCGTGGGAATAACCAGGAGGCCATGCTACAGGCTGGCTCCCGCGCTGGGGAAATGCCACTTGGGACCAAAGTACACATAGACATAAATTATTATGACGGAGACTCTTTATACATCTCAGAAGGTAATTCCAGAGCTGAATTCTAAAGCCACCCTGGGCTTTGGGAGCGCTACTGACACAGATGGGCAGCCGTCTCGGAGACAGCCTTGGACATGACGATTTAGTTCAATGCACCAAATCTGTGTGACAAGCACAGGGCAGAGCCGTGGAGGACTGAAAGAGCGACGTGACAGTCTGTGCCCTTGAGGGCTTGCAGTTGTGATGGAGGCAGGTCACCCGTGGTGGAGAGAGAGAGGCACTGGGTTCAGCTGTGACACCACGTGGGACAGAGCAGGGGAGAGCGGATCAGGAAGGCACTGTTGTCTTGTTCTCGGGGGGTCTCCTGGCAGGAGGGTTATGGGTCCTGGTTATGCTAGTCACGAACATGCCCCTTAGTTTATTGACACATGGCCTGCGTTGTCTTAGCTCTTGATATGAGTGACAGAGCCTGTGCATTCCTTTTTTGTTTTTAGAGGTCATGAGAAGGGTCTTTCCTCCTGGAAACCAATGGTCCCCGAGACTGTGGCACAGAGCAAGAGTTGACATGGGCTTTGAGTAGCAGCCTCGAGGTAAGAAAACACAGGTAAAAACGTGTGTCGTGAGACCTCGCGGCTCTTGCAGCAGCAAAGGCCTTCACACGGCAGCTCCCTTCCCTTCCAAAGTCTGTGCCTCCCCGTTCACCTTCCCTCCCCGCCTTCCCACTGCCACTTCCCCTCCCAGACACGGCTGCCCCTCTGCCGGCTCTTCGCTCTGGAGCCCTCCAGCCCTTTCCTGCGGCTCATTTATCTGCGGCCACCTGTGGTCTAGTTTTTCCCTTTAGGAGCAAACAAACAACAGACAAACAAGGGAACAGCCCCTTCCTGGGACCCAGGGTCCCTGCCGCCCTCCCGCCTTCTCCGCTAAGCTCCACACAATTGAGACGACAGTTCCTTTCGGCCTCCTCGCCTCTCGTTCACTTTTCTGCTTTTTGCAAACTGGGTTTTTAAACCTTCAGATCCGTGGGCTGCTCTGCCCCCCTTTTCCTGCTGGATCATTTAAATCCTGGTGACCATTCGTATTATCTCCGTAGCCCAGTTCCTTCCTTCTTTTGTCATCTCCTCCCCTCGCCCGACTCCATCATCATTATGCAATTACTTCCAAGGCCGCATCTCTTGCCCTGCTCCGTCTGAGATCCAGGCCCACTAGATGCCGTTGCTATGGATACCCCGCGAGCGAAGGAAACTCAACCAGCCTCCTCTCCCGCTCCCTTTCTCAATGGAAGACATCGCCAGCCACCTAATCTTCACAAGGGCAAAATTGTGGAGCGTCCTCGACTCTTCCTTAGCCTCTGTCTTCTCCCAACATGGGTCCATTATTGATTTTGTCCACATTTTTTCTCTGGCATTGGCCCAGGCCCTGGTCCCATGGTGTCCACCTTGTACACTATCTGGAAACACAGAGACTGGTCCTTCTCCACGTACACCCCCTCCTGCTTGCTTCACTTACAGGACACAGCAGAGGTGTGCAAAAGTCAGGCCCTGAGCTGAGAGGAAGGGTGGGGAGCTGGCGTCTGAGCCCCACTTTTCCACACCCACTTCAAGCATCAAGTCTCATGGGTTTATGAATTCCCAGTGGCTGGGGATTGGAGCAACAGCAGGTATATATTTGTGAATCCATTTGGTAAAGGGACATCATCAAGGATGCACTTAATGGGACTCCTGGGTGCAGTAATAGGGATCGATTTGGTGCATGTTCGCTGTTGGGTACACACGTGCAAGTTAATAACAAAGCTTGGGCCTTCAAGAGTTTACAGTTTACACAGCGCTGGGTGCCTTCAGGATAAAGTCCGAGCTCCCTAGTCTGGCCCATGTATCCTCGGTGGCCAGGCCCCGCCCACGGCTCCAGCCTCACCCCAGGGCACGGCCGGTCTCCTCTGCCCCGTCTGTCCCCACCGGAGTGCCCGGCACAGCGCCAGGGGACTTGGCCATTGTCTCCCAGACCCTGGACAGAGCCTGGCACACGGCAGGCAAGCCGGAAGTGCATTTTTTTTAGTGAATGATGGAATGTTTCACTTTGGGTTCTCAAGATTCTTTTTTTCTTAAAAAATAAAGAAGAACCTGCTAAGCATAGTATACCAATTTTTAACCATTGGAATTGGAAAGAAGTCTTCTTACTAAAATAGAAGAAAAACCCACCAGTGAAGGTCGTATTGGTTGAGAGTTGCCAATGGTAGGTTTCGTTTTTCATCTCTGCGCACCCCAAAAATAAAAGCCAGCTTTAGGATGAGAGCAAGAAACTACTCAGTATGAAGAAACAGACTCATTATATTCCTTTTTTATAAACTGAAATCATTTCATTGGGCTTTACCAAGCATCCTCTGGGGTAAAAGATAGAATCCCCAATGAACTGGCTGTATTTTATTACTAATAATATGCTTATGTTGGGCACGCATTCATATGTATTACTATATAAATTCATGACTTGATTCCTACAAAGAAACTGATCCTTTCAAAAACATCTCTTTGAAAGACAGCGCAGACGAAAGGCCCAAGGCTCCTGCCCTGGCCTGCACATGGCCTTTGACTGCAGTGGCTGTGTCTCTGCCCTCCCCTGACCCTCCGCAGGGCAGGTGCCCACCTGTGCTCCAGGATTGGAGAGTGAGGCTGGCGACGCTGACCCAGGGCGTCCAGAGAGGCGGCCGACCCACAAGGCCTGCAATCAGCCGACCCGGCTCCAGCCCGGTCCGCCCCTTCCAAGCTGGGACAGGGACCCCATCCCTTTGTCCTCTAGGACGCAGGCCCTGCAAACATTTGTTGTTGCTATTATTTACTTGTTTTTGTCCCTACTGGAAAAAGATGACCAACGATGTCGATCTTAGATTATTAATAACAACACCCTGTGTTTCGTAATGCTGAGAAACGGTGCTGAGAACAGAAAAAGGGTTCAATCACGTGGGAAGGAGTGAACGATGCGTGAACGCACAATCCAAATCAGGTGGCCTGTTTCACATTGTGAAGGTCGTTGACCCTGTGGGGAGTTTTCTGAAGGCAGAAGCTTTGGCTCGTACAACGCGGACGCTGCGGAGACTGGCTCAGTTTCTGGAACAAAACAGGAGCGGCGTCAGCGATTTTGCGATGTAGTAAACATTGTTCCAGGCTTCTCCCACGCACCTAGAAAGCCACTTTGTATGTGGGCGTGGTGAGCGGAAGGTGCTACTTCAGCAAAGAACCCTGACCACTTTCCGTGTTTGCTCTCCTGCAATGGGAACTACGGTAAGTCAGGTCCGCGCTCTCCCGTTGAAAGGCCTCGATTCGAGGGTCTCACACTTGCGTGGTCTTTATAGCTGGAGAAGTTCTGGCGCTTTCATTATGTAGAGGCCAGAGACCGGGCGCCACAGCGACCATACCCTCCACGGCAGCCTGGGCGACGCACTCGCCTTCACGGTGGTGGTCGATCGGTGCGGGATTCTCAAATCCCGTGCCTGAGGCCGGCACAGGTGGGGGGGCAGTCCTCCATGAGGCCCCTGCCAGTCGCCGTGCGGTGCCAAGACTCGGCCTCGTGCCTCCATCGGTTTGCTCAGCACATGCCCCGGCACCAGTGAAAATCTGAATTCCGGAGGGTGCCCGGGCCTGCGTGTGTGGACCCTGCGTGCCCTTTGCCTTACAGCAAGCCGGCAACGGTCCCCACGCGTTCTGTCACTGCTCGCCCTGTTTCATAGATGAGGAGACTGAGGCATTGGAGGGCTCTGCCCTCAGACACGGTGCTGGCATTGGGATGTTGCTCCCGAAGTCCGTCTGTGTGTCTGTCTGTCTCCAAAGCCCCTCTTTTCCTTCCCGAGAGCCTCTGCCTCATGGTGCTACCTCCATGTTTAGGAAACAGCCCAAGAGGGCACAAGCTCAAGGGCTCTTTGCTTACGTCACCTGTGCCACGGGCTGGCTGAGGCTAGATGACTAGCAGGCAGCTGGAAGGCAAAGACTTGATCCGACCGGAAGTGGTAACAGCACACCTACCTACCATCAACCACGTGAGAGGTGTGGCCCCCAAACACGGGCCTCTTAGTGAGCTTGCTGAGTGATTTCCATCCGGGTATCAGACCCGTTAGTGACTTCCTGTCCTGAGCTCCCACAGCCGCCCTTACTGGGGAAGCCTGGCACCCCCCGCCCCCACACCCTTCTGAGACAGAAAAGACCCAGCCTGGGCGCTGGAGGGAGCGGGCAACCTGGCTGTTTGTGCCTCTACTGACTTACACTGTGCTCTGAGCGTCCGTCGCTGCGCACGCCTGCTGGGGGCCTCCCCAGGTATGGCCGTTCTCCCTGTTCACAGTGGTTCTGTTCTATGAAGTCACTACAGACACGGCGTCAGCGAATCCCAGGGAGCACAGGGGCAGGTCCCTGCCAGCCTCTGGGCACACGTCACGTGCGCGTCTGTTGGAGGACACCCTCTCTGATATGTGGTGTTGATTGATTCACGTTGCGCCCCCGCCAGCGGTGCTCCGATTCCGGCCTGGATGGGGCTTGTCGAGCCTGCATGTGTCCTCCTGAGACATCGCGAAGCTCCCTTGGGCTCAGGAGCACTAGACAGCCCCCGGCACAGCACTGGTGGCCACCATCATCAGCGAGATCACCCACAACGAGGACAAAAGTGCAGGCACCGCGGCACCGGAACGGCCCGGTTCCCAGCACGACAGCTGAGGCCCGGAGGCAGAGCCGCCTCGTCCCAGCCCTCAGGCTGAACGGCACCAATTTTTCGCCCCTTGGAGCGCATCCTGGAATGATGAGAAAGCTCGAGAAGCATTGACTTGGGGGCCGCCAACAACTATTAGTGAGTCGGCGAATTTCTGGGAACAGTGAGGATCTGCTGTGGGATGGGTCCCCACCCTGGTTTGTCCCCAGCTTCCCTTCCTTCTCACCTGGCCTTGAACACTAGTGTCAGCTTGTGCTGCCTCCAGCACTTCTCAGGACTAAGCCCCGCCCCCATCGAGCCCTCTGGGCTTCCTGGGCCCCACCCACCCCTTTTCTGGCTGAACCTGGCCCCTCTTGATGCTGATGAAAACTCCCTTCTTTCCCAAAACCCCCGGCCCCTGAGGCTCTGCCTCCCTGCTCTCCTCTCTGCGGAGAGTTCTCTCTTCTTCCCCGATCTCTCCTCTTCCTCCTGCTCCTGAAATGGCGGTGGTCCCCAGGGCTCCGCACGCACTGTCCTCTCCCCCAGGTGCGCCGGGCACGCACGCCCCAGGTTGCTCACCTGTCCCTGGATGATCTCCGCTTCCAATTCCACTGTGTCCCCCTGGCTGGGCTCCAGCTCAGTTGACAGCACCCTGCTGTTGTTGCTGTCGGGCGGGTGCCCCGGCACACGCTCAAAGCGGAAGTGTTCCCTTCCAGGCTTGCTCTCCCTCCTGGTCCAGCTCACCTTCCTGGTCACTCAGGCCTGAAGCGAGTTCATCTTTGACCTTCTCCCCGCCCTCATCCAACCTGTCAGCAAGTCTGTCCTTCCTCTCCGATGTTTCCCAGCGCTGTCCCCGCCTCTCCAAGTTCTGGCCTCGTCTCCTCTAGCCTGTGGTCAGCATCTTGCTGATGGTCTCACCTTGTTCCTCCCAAAGTCGCCTCCGCACTGTCACCAGAGTTCCGGTGACACCAGTCCTCCCAGGTCAAGGCCCTGCTCCCGCGGAGGGTGGAGCCTGAGCTCCCTTGTGAGGAGGGGCCTGAGGAATCGGCCCTCCCCCCAGGGCCGTGGTGCCTGTCTGGGTCCTCTGCCTCTCTCGGCCTCCCTTCCACCTGGAAGAGTTGCACGGCAGGGTATTCCTCCTGCCCCCAGCCTGGGCCTGACCTCCGGACCCAAGCCCCTGCTGCTGGGCCGCAGCACCCCCGCCCCAGCTAATCCTTGGGGTCTCGCTGACGTGTTTTCTCCAGGCACCCCTCTCCTCGGGGCGCCCTGCCCATGGGCATCTCTGGAATTGCATCCGCTGTGCTGGACTCGGCTTCTGTCTTCCCTGCTAGTGTGCAGTCCCCTCCTTCCTTCCTTCCTTCATATTGGAGATCGGGGCTGTCCCTTATTGATCTTTGTAACCCCCAATAGATGCTCAATGCATACATGTTTACTGAATGGGCGGATGGGCATGTGAACGAACGAACGAACGGCCCTTCCTGTCTCCAGCCGCGTGCGCTCTGGTGGCCGCAGCGGAGGTCGGCTTGCTCCTTCCCTGCCTTGACTGGCCTCTTCCCGCCTTCCTGCCCACCCTCCTACCCCCCTGTTGTTCCTCAAACCGGCCTGCACCCCAGCACCAGGTGGCAGCCTCCCTCGGGGCCCCTGTGGACTCTCCCTTTTGGAGACTTGAGCTTCCTGCCCGGGGCTCGGTCTCGTTACCCAGACCCAGTTCCTCCCCTTCTCCCTGCAGGTGTCTCTCACCCTTTTCTTTGTTCAGGCCGCTGGCAGCTTTGCCTCGCTGCTCTCGCCTGCGGCGCCATCTTGGTTCCCTGTTGAAGAGCGCCCAGCCCCCGCAGGCCCCGCGCCCCCTGGCACGCATGTGACATGCACGCCTTGGGGTCTAATCCTCTCGCCCTTCTTTCTTTAACAGCAAAATGCTTTGGGAGGAAACGTGCCAGTGAAGAGAGACACTTCAGGAAGTGTGTGATTTTCCCTTCGCAGCCTTTAATAAATGCCTTACTTTTTCTCTTTCATTGTCTGATTTTTAAAAAAAAAAAAAACAATGTGAGTCACGGTTAAATTTTTAGATAAGAAGCTAATGCCACGAGGAGACCAGTATCAGCTAAAGACTTTAGGAGCTGAGACTCATCAAGTGGCCGTGTTTAGCATAGTTATGCCAAACATGTGATTGAGGTCAACATACCATGGTCATAAATTCCTCGTTCTTACAAAGACAAGCAGTCCCAAGCAGTGCAGTGTCAAAGAGCATCTTTTCTTTTGTACTAATTTTAATTTTT